ACCCTTTAAAAAAGCCTGTATTTTGCTTATGGTGATAAGAAACAAATCGTAAATATAACAAATCAGCTATATTAGAGAAATAACTTTCCCTTAGGGGCTATTTGGTTGAATTCCAAATGACTGTAAAGTATTCTAAATACAAAAATTTCTAAAATTTTGAAATTTAGTTGGATGAGAAAGGAATGCAAAAAAGTAAATTAAATATATTGTAAATCATTTTTGTTCAATTTTGAAGTGTTTAGTGAGCTAAAATAGCTTAGTAGACTACAAACATCAATGTAAATTTATAAATATTTTTTAGTATATTGAAATGCAACATAATAAATCATTGTGCTGATAAAAGTAATAATTGCATAGCAGTTATACATCACATAATATAACATAAAAGAGTTATTTGATTCCAGACAGAATCTCAAAAAATTATGGTCTCTTATGATTCTCAATATATTTATAGCACCAAAACATTTTCGTAGGCACTAGGACATGACATTTTGCCACTATAACATGCCCATATATATCAGAATACGACTTTTTAATTACTAGAACATGTCGTATATGCACCATAATATACTGCTTCTTTTACAATAATATTTTTCCAATATTATCGATTTATCCAGTAAATCATATAATTCAATCACATTAACATATATTTCATCGTAGTGTAATAATTGAAACATAAATGAGCTAATATCAGAATTGCATAATTTTTTATAACGGTGGATAATATAAATTCCCATTGAAATAAAAATTCATAATTTTACAGCATAGAAAAATTATCAGAGAGTATGTATAACATTTTTTATGACTTTAATCATACTCAATACTATTTGATTGTAAAAGTTCACATTTTTCAATTCTGGGTCAAAATAGGTTAAACCAAATGCTGAACTTAGATGTGTCACAATTCTAGTCGGGAGGAATGTAATCGGGGGACGATAGTTCGACTTAGTTTGTCTAGTAGTGATCTATCTATGTTAGTTGGGCAGTGTTCGTATGGTGACAATCAAATTGTGGTTTGACAAAGGCAGTTACGTAATGTTCATACAACAATGGATTTGAGTTGTGGTTTGATAGCAATAGTCTAGTGGTGGTCCAATGAACAATATGATGATGTTCTTATAACTGTACGTGATCTCACAAAGCTTTGAAAGTGGTCAAATAGTGGGGCTTAGGTAAAGCTCTAGAATTCTTAAAGCCTTTGAGCTCTCCTAAACCTGAAGGTAAGGAGTTTCCTATGCTCCCCCCTTCATGTAGGGAATGAGAGCCTATTTATAGGTTTTGAAAATGATATGCCAAATAAATATAGAGAAATTTCAGAAGACTCCATAGGATAGCCAATATTAATTTCCTTTATCATAGACTGTACATTTGACATTTTGGTGCCTTGATTATATCAAAATTAAGTTATACTGGGCTTGTTGGATTTGTGTCATCAAGATGATCATTTCGACTATAAGCATATAAGATTTGAAGATCATTTGATCATCCATATTCTGTCATAAAATTTCAAATTATGCTTCAAGTATTTAGTATGGGTTCAATCATGATTAAATTGGACTACTTTTGATATTGCTGAGTTTGTCTCGTCAAGCCATTTAGTTTTTTTTTTAACTAAAACAAATTTTATTTGAAAAAAGGTTCAATATAGCACACGACCAAAGTACAAAAACAGGCCAATGAAAATAAAAGTAGATCAACGGGATTACAATTCTCGAAAGGGCCAAAAATTTGATAACAGGTAAGTCAGACGGGCTCAGACCGCCACCTGATTGGCATGCATGGGCCATCGAAGGAGGAATAAAAGGAAGCATCCAAAAATCAAAATCCAGCAAAATTGAAACCTCCACCAAGGTTGCCTACCAAGCGAAGGTCATCCAAGGCGCATGCAGGAAACCTGCTTCATCATTGTCCAGACCCCAAATCTGTGCCGCACTTAAAGCAAATCCAAAATAAGCAAAGCTAGATAAATACATAAATACCAAAAGGAAATTAATTTCTTTTTGGCCTTACGATTTTTAGACTTGTCATTCTTTTTAAGAAAGTCGTCATCTGCAATTAGAAGAGCACCCATAGCTAACTCATTAGTCTCCTCCCCATCATTTGAATAAAAATCCTCATTAAGATCTAACCAATCACATTGCTCTAAAGCGCTACCACCTGCAAGATGAGCCAACAAGCTAGTACTAGAGACAACAATTAGAGGAACATCCACCAAATGCCCCCCTAACACCATCAAGACTCCACCCCAATACACACAATATCAGAAAAATCAAGCCCCTCTAAAGAACGATCACCCCCTGACCCATTACCCGCAGGAGAGTCACCCCTAGAATCAACCGACAGAGGAAAACCACCCTCATTAACGTCTCCAATAGGAACAAAAATACCACTAGTACAAACTACCCGATTAGTTAAGCAATTGTGAGGTTCATCAAACTCACCAACATTAGGATCAGGCGCCACAACCTCGTCACCCTTCAATTATAAATTTATTGAAATCATGCATTTGATAATCTTAAAATTAATTTTTTAAAATTTTAATTTAAAGACGCATCAAGAATTGTGCCCAAAATAGAAAATTTCTTATGACTATCATATTTAAAGAAATAAAGCAATAGCTTTTTCATTCAAATAATTGATAAGTAAATCATTTGAAAAGCTTAGCTTTACAGTTATTTCCTTTCAGTAAAATTTCAATTAAGATATTCTCAAATAATTTTTGATTTGGATGGTCCTCAAATTATAATAATATATTGCACGATGACTATAATACATAAAAAATGAATATTACAATAATTTTAAATATTATTCTCATCATAATATTTATACTTTTATCCACAACAAACATTTATTGACAGAATATATCCCTCAGCTAACTTTCTGCAAACTCAACCACAAATAAATCTTCTGAAAGGTCAAAGCAACGAGTTCGCAGTACTTATTATGTGTCTGTGGTTATCGCAAAATCTCATAATTATTTTAAATCATAAAATATTTTTTCTTTATTTTAAAGGGTAGGCTTTTCTGGTCAGAGATGCTTTAAAATTTGGTGATAATGACCCCTTCGAGCAAGTAGATAAAAATATTAAATGCAAAGACGATTAGCTTATCATTGAGGACTTTATTCATAATTGCCTCTTTACATATTTATTCATAACACTAATTGAGATCAATCAAATTAATTGTAATTTGGATTCATGAAAGTCTCTTCGTCCATTTAAATTTTAAAATTCGGTGCTTATGGAAAGCCGTAACGTAGGGTGTCAATTTTTGACACGACCCGAATCCGAACTGGAAAAATCCGGGTTCGGGTCAACCCGAATCCGAAACGGGTCGGTTCGGGTTGAACAAATCAACCCGTTTTAAAAATCGGGTCTGGTTGACCCAGCAACCCGAAATTGATCCGAAAGTGACACAAAAACTCATATTTGACCCGAAACCCGAGATTGACCCATTTTTTAAACGATTTTGACCCTAAAATTAGCAATTTTAGCTCAAATTCGGGTCATTCGTGTCGGTTCGGGTTGACCTGGACCCGATCGGGTCGGGTTCGGGTTGACCCGAACAGTGTCGGGTCAGTTCTGGGTTCGACCCGAACATGACCCGCTGACCCGAATTGACACCCCTACCGTAACGTCTTCCTTTTAAAATTACATAATCTTGTTGAAAAAGCTGACATTAGTATTTTATGAATTAGGTCAAATATTAACATTATGAGTCTATATTCATTATTATAATTTTTAATCAAACTATGGGGCTACCTGGATACAAAATTTCAGCAGGATTTGTCATTTGAGCAAGCTTTCAATTAAAATTTTGCCAAACTTAAGGAGATGCCTTCTCAAATCACACGATAAATTAAAAGACAACATTTTAAAATAATGACTGTTGCTAATTATTTCGACAAAAAAAAATAAAATTAAAATTGATGACAATCGTTAGGTAACCCAACAATTATTTTGATGGGGGCAAATTCATGTGGCAAAGGGTCTAGTTGTTTAAGAGTTTGCATTCGAGCGTACGTAGGTGGGATACATCAGGTATTGGGTTCAGATGGATGGGTCTAATCGCGAAATCGCGATACGAGAGGGATTGGTTGATTACAAATTGGGAGTTGAATGGCGAGTCGGATCCACGCAAGTCATTTGCGCTTCAGACAACTGCCCAAGGATATGTTGCGTGAGAGCCACTCATTGGGTTACCAAATGATGATATCATTTCTTAAGTTTTTATTTTTAGGTTTTCTTATCTTCATAATAATTAGCAACGGACATCATTTTAAAAATTTGTCCTAAATTAAATACGGATTTGACATTATTTTTCAGTTTTTTGCCCTAAATTTTGGATTTAGGGCAAATTTGATAGTTCGGTGTCATGACTTTCGATCCGGCTTGAAGAACATCATTGAAGGAGGTTGAGAATCTTCAACAAACGACTATTTCAAAACTACTTCACTTCATGCGACGCAGATGAAGTCCAATATCAATGATTCAACTAGCAAATTCAACAACAAGAAAAGCTACCTAAACACAACTCTCCTTGGCCTATTGGTTGAGAGCTTAGGCTTCCAACTAAGAGGTCCAGAGTTCGAGTCCATGTGTATGCGTTGTGTGTGTGAGTTTGACTTAAATGGCCTAAATGTCAAAAAAAAAAAAAACTTATGAAAGTTTACCGAAAAATCCAGATGCCATACAGAAAAAAAAAGCTGCCTAAGGAAAAATACTGACTTTTTCTTTTTACGAATTAATCTAATTATCTATTTATACATATAATATAATCAGTAAAAAAAATACTTAATTAAATAAAAAATATAATTACATTATTTATAATGATTAGTTGTTAGCAATAATAAAAAATAATAATTAAATCATAAATAACTAAAAGATTGATTAAATTTAATTTTAATCTTTCTAATTAAAAACATAAATTATATTTATATTTTGAATGAATGAATTTTATTAAATACTGAGTTGACTTAAATTCAAAGAGCCTCCCGCAAATTTCCAAATAGTTGAACATTATATATGATAAAATGAATTTTCAATTCACAATTCAGACACTGTATGACTCACCATTAAAACAAATTAAACTAAAACCGCCGCAGATGATGCACAACCACTTAAAAAATTAATCGCCGGCGACGGCGCCGTTGAGTTCCGGCGGCATCTTCTTTTCCTTCTTGCTCCAGCTATGCATCCTAATCAACCCATATAGCTTCCTAAACTCCCTTCCACCTTCCCTAATCCCCTCCTCAACTTTACCACCAACCTCTTTCTTCTCCACCGCCGCCGGATTCAAAGAAGCCGACCGTTGCAGAGCGCTGATAACGTTCTTAATCGCCCGGCTCGGTGAACAACGGTTGGCCACCATGATCTCTCCAAGCTCAGCATGACTCAGCTTTCCACCACTTTGAAAACCTTCTTCAACCTGCGCGTATAGCTTATGATCTGTAACGCCGAGGTAGCTGCCCGCCATCGTCTTGAACGCCGTGAAGTCGCACCGAGGAAAGTGGATCTGAAAATCAACCCGTCCCGGCCGGACTACTGCTGGGTCAAGTTCCAAGGCCTCCTTCTCCCCGGTGGCTGTGAAAACCATTATTCTCTCCTCACCGCAACAAGAGAACACGCCGTCCATGAAGCAGAGCACCCCTGAAATCAGCAGTGATAATTAAAAAAAAAATTATATATCGTCGAACCAGGATTTACAGATCTTTCACGGCAAAATAGTAAATGCCAACAAAAATCAAAATTTTTTATTTATAATAATATGTTTCATAAAAAAGAATGAAGAATTCTATAATATTGATGCATTTGATATTTTTTATATTGGTAATAATAAATGTGTTGGTTCCGAATAAAATGTATTTCAGCTTTCACTTATTTACAACCATACCTGAAATTCGCGCCTCGCCGGTGGCGGCGGCAGCCAGGTAGCGGTCAAGGTCTTCAACAAGGATTACTGAACGCGGCGACGTGTCGAGCAGGAGCGACCGGAGATCGCCGGCGCTGGAAACTCGGGAGAGATCAAGCTCGTATACGTTGTAGCAGAGGAAACGCGCCATGGCGGCCACGAAGCTTGACTTGCCGGTTCCCGGCGGGCCGTAGAGGAAGTAGCTGCGTTTCCAGACCCGGCCCAGCCGGGAGTAGTAGGCCCGGCCTTTTAGGAATAGCTCCAAGTCAGCCCGAATCCGGGCCTTCAGCTCTGGGTCCATTACCAGCGTGTCAAACGTCGCCGGGTGGCTCATCGTCACCGACCTCCACCTCCGGCCGCTGCGGCCGGCAGCAGCGTTTGAATACAACTTAAACTCCTTTCTCCGGAGCTCGATTTCCTCCGCGACGGTCTCGACGTGCCGTAAATACGGTCGGAGCACTCGATGGCGGTCCTGGCGGCGGAGGCGGAGCACGAGGGCGTCGCCGGAGTCGGCGCCAGAGAGAAAATTCCAGGAGAGGCGGGCTCCGAGGAACGAGTCGATGACGTTTTGGCCGGGGATGAGGTGGACGGAAAAGTCATTGGGGCGGGAGTGGAAGGAAAAAAGGGATGTGTGGTCGGAGTCTTCGGCGGCGGGGAGGGCGGCGACGTAAGCGGCAGCCTTGCGATAAAGGGGGTTTTCCGGCGAGTCATCGTCGCCGTAGCGACGTATGGTGAAGGTTTGATGGGCTTGGGTGTGGGCTTCGACCCAACGAAAAAGGCGGGAGAGGAGGAAAAGAAGGGATTTGAGGGAGATGATGGTGCGGAGAAGAAAAAGGAAGCAGGCGGCAGCGATCGCTGTGGACAGTAGATCGCCGGCCGCCGGTGAAATCATGGTTAAGAGATCCTGGGATTGGTTCAAAAGGAAGAGAGTCTCGATTGCGTTAAAATGTAGAGTGGGTGAACTGAAATTAATTTGGTTGTTGGGTGAGCCGATGATAATGTTATAAATTGAGAATTCAGGACCGATTTGACGTGCTTTGCCATTTAATATTCTATCAAAAAGCATATATAAATACAATTCAAAAAATATTATATATAATTTATATATATCTTAAATTTTATTATTTATAAACATAACATTTAAAATTATAAATAATGTTTTTCTCAAATTTTTTTATAAATGTTAGAGTGGATGAAAGCGTGAGACTCGGTAGCGATGATTAGCAGGCTTATGTAATACCTATAACTCTTATGCTTTGGCCTAAAGGGCCTCATAATTTTATCCTATTGGTGTAACTTTCCAGGAGGTCACGTATCATAATTTTTTTTTAGGATGAGCATGCTTAACTATAGAGTTTATTACATGAAATTGCAACAATTATATCAAAAGGTGCTTCAATGTTTAAGTTTTTAGTTCTTTTATTTAATAGATTTAACAATCACTCCCACGTAAGTAACTAATATCTTGTTAGCATCTTTATCCCATAATCATAATTCTCTCCCCTTCTTCGACTCCCATGTCATCCATATCGAATTTTGCCTTAAAGCATCAAGATCATAGACCCTTGACCTTGACTCAAATCATAGCGAACTTATGAGAACCCTAGCAAGGAATTTAGTCCATTTAGGTGACCTCCTTAGCACCTCATCTTAATATACGTATATAATTTCATTGGTGATCCTCACAGGATAATTAGTGCCAATTTGTTGTGGCCCAGAAACCATGAAATTGAGACCCAACAGCAGCTCTGTGACATCATTTTTATAATACACTTTTTTTTTCCTATTTAAGTGATTGACTCTTCCTCTCAAGTTGGATGACACCATGTTAATTGGTGCTCAAAATCATCTCAATTAATGCTTGATGCCATTTGTGTTCTTGTTGACTCTCACCCGAATATCAACCTCTTTGGACTTTCAATTCATGTTGTTCCCTCTAAGACCCTTCTATTTGGTTTTCTCTCTTGATGTTGTCATACTTTCCTCCCAAGAACTTGTCCCTTCAACATAGATAGATTGGCTAGACCTAGTCGACTATCTAAACATACTTAGGGATCTAATCTAACCTAATCAAATAATATCATGTAAGACTTGACGTTTGCTTAAACCAATCTCGAGATTAAATCACAGTGACTTATAAAATTCTTATGAATTAATTTTATCTCTTAATCATAGAACATTGGGCTATCTTGAACCCGCTTAAATTTAATTGAGACTTAAGTGAACCTAAGGAACTCTAAAACTTAATTTATTGCACTCAATTATACTAATGTAAATCCTATTTATGACCAAACCCAAGGCCTAGATGGCCAAACCACCTAAATCAGAAAAGCTAGCTTGACCCAAATTAACATAATCGACTTTTTAGCTAGTTAGTTCAAGTTAACCCGACCTATTTATGATCATTACTTTAATTCAATTGTACATAATCATCTCTACCATACATGTGGACAATAATATTAAAAATTATCAATGATGAAATGATTCAATCTTTGGTGTAGTTTGACTCAACATTGTAATGGCTAGTTTAACTAACTTTATAAGGATTTTAAAGGTAGTCATTCAAAGTAATTTAGAAAATGTTTTTGATGTTTCCATAGTAGGGTTTTTTTTAATATAATTTTTTAGTGAATATTTTAATGGGTATTGAAGATTATAAATATCATATATAAAGTGATCAAATGTTAAGAAAAGAATGAGTTTTTGAGTTCTTACATGCTAAATCCTTATTGTGAGAAAAGTGAAAAAAAATAAAATCATAGTGTTCGTCTAAGAAATTTTATCCTTGAGTCTTTTCATTTGAGTAAAATCATTCTTCACTCAGTCTCTAAGATTATTTTTATCTTAGATATTACTTTTATCTTTTAAATCATCTATTGGATTTTAAATTGCATCATATGAATAGAATTTATTTGTTGATTCACTATTAAAGTTAAAGAAAATTTTAGCATTGTATATGACAGTGGGTAAAGTTAGGTCTTTTACGACTTTTTTGGTTACTTTAGACGAAAATAAGTTGAGCTTGTGCTGGTGAGCTTAGGAATAGCGAAATCCTAAGTCGATGGAGGCTAGGGTTTAGACATGGACATATGTTGATTGAGTGATTGCAGTTCATAAACATCTGTGTATATATCTCTTCATATTTTAGATTTACTTGCTCACATTTTTCTACTCACTTATTGTTGCTTGAATGACCATACGACGTACTTAATATTTGATGTAATTCTTTTCTCTTAAGTTCATTTTCTTTACTTGTATTGGAAGTTGTATGTTCTTACATTTAGAATTTTTCCTTAGATTGTCATATTTTGTGTCTTATTGTGAACAATTATGTCATTTTGGTGCATAGTGATTTGCTTGGCATAACTTAATAAATGTTTGTATGATATCTTATAAAGTTTATTATCATTAAATTACTAATGAATGAATTATAATACATAAAATTTACACTAAGACTCATGGAATAAATAAAATATAAATATTGGAAATATCGACGGAGCCACCACAGATTATAATTTAGATTTATTAGGGACAGCATTTTTACTTCATTCTTTTTCAGGTTACAAGCATATTTTTTATTTTGCCACTAATTTTGGTACTAAAAAAATTGCTATTTTCAAATGCTTTGAAAAAATATTTTTTTAGAATTTTTTTAATTATCTTTATAAAAAAATTACAGTCATAAATGGATTCTATGGGGATATGGGCGCCTTCTGGAGGGGAATCATAATGCGCCAAGTCAATTTTCTGGCATGTATCATGACTGTGTAACGATGTGCACCGAGTGACGTGACATATTCTGATTCATCTTCAAATGATCCGCACAAAATAATTTCTCCGCAGACGAACTCTTCTACAAATGCTGTTGTCATCATGATTAAAAGCTTTCGGCGCATCCAATAGGCATAATCGTAATATATAAGTCAAAGCTCTCAACATCTTTAGCTTTCGAGGATGCCTTGAGAAGGTCTACTTTTCATTTTGTCAAAAAAGATGAAACGCAAAAAAAATAAAAATAAATGTGATTGTTATTTGTAACAACAAATTATGTTGAAATGTCCGGACATAAACTATATCACCATAATTTTAAAATCCTATCATATGCATAAATGAATATATATAATTTATTTATTTTATGGACGTCGTCCGGAGGCAAATCAGAATGCGACTCGTCATTTTTTTGCTGTGTGTCACGACTGTGTACCAGGTGGCTTGGCACATTGTGATTCACCTCTGAATGATCCGGTGTACATATAGAATAATTTCTTTCTTTGTGGGGACCATCGGATATGTGCATATGTGCCCGCTCTTTACAACTACCGATTATCTGTCATATGCATATGGACACATATGCGAGCATACAAGCTGATTGATTTGTATTATTTAAATCAAATATATTTCAGATGAAATTTTAAACTTCCCCAAAATTTATCTAAAATCACTAATCAAATAACTATTTTTTGTTCTCCGCCCATCTCAGCTAGCTTGTGTGGCACGCTCTAGCTGGCTTAAGCCATCTAAAGACCAGCTTACTGATTTAATACGATAAATATAACTAAAAAAAAGAAGAAGAAACATTTCAAATCCTACTTCTATTTTCTCCTACAAATTCTCTCTATCAAATCGAGCCACTTTATTGATTTTATTTATTTTATTTTCCCTCATCTTCTTTATAAATATTCCCTTTTCAGTATGAAAATAATTGAAGGCATATTGAATCCGTCAACGTCGGCATTATAATCATAGGTGTCTGTTCAACCGTCCAATCCAATTGAGGTGGCATTTGGCAACCATTGGATCCAATCAATTTTTCCAAAGTTATTCTGTTTTCTGAGCTGAAGCAAATTTTTTTCTATACAGTCGGAGCATTGCAATCCATACAAGGCCCAGCCCATCGCAGTCCAGCATCACTTCTTATGGGCCAAGAAGACAGGCTGAGTTTCTGTGTTCGGTTCTGCCTGTTTGAAATGGTACCTTTAATTACCTGACGGCCCTCCAAACGAGCCCACCTACGGGATATGCTCTCGCTCCGCAGCTGGTGTCAGAGGCTGGTCTTCGTCGAAACCGAAAGGCGCGTGTTTTCCATGGCGACGACGGCCGCCTTCTCCACGGGCTCCCCAAACCCTAACGCACTCAAGAGAGTCGGCACGCACAACGGAAGCTTCCACTGCGATGAAGCCCTCGGCTGTTTCATGATCCGCCTAACGGAAAAGTTCGCCGGCGCCGAGATCGTTCGGTCCAGGGATCCGCAGGCATGCTTTTTCTCTTCTCCGCTGCTTTTTGTATTTAGGGTCAAGGGTCCAGGGAGCATTAAAGAAACATTTTGAAAAATTGATCTGTTCTGTTAATGGAATGAGATGGTAGAAGAAGATGAGTGTAAAAGATGGAAGCTTTTTAATTCTTTAAGGAAGAGGGAGGACGGTAAAATAAGGGGCAAAAAACGAAAAAATCTTTCTCAGCATTACATAACTCGAATGAGGATAGTTTGTTTGCCAAACCTGGTGCTCTTATTTTGCTTTCAGGTGCTGGATACCTTGGATGCAGTTCTTGATGTTGGAGGCGTGTATGATCCCAGCCGCGATCGTTATGATCATCATCAGAAAGGTTTCAATGAGGTTTTTGGTCACAGATTCATCACCAAACTTAGTAGTGCTGGACTTATCTACAAGGTATCATATAAATGTCAAAGAATGATCAAGGAAAGCTTACATAATTTTTTCTTTTTTTCAATGCAATGCTTGAGCTAAAAACTTGGTCTTGTGGCGTTCTGAAACTGGTGATTTTGGAGGCAGATCTTTTTTTATTAGATTTAAATGAGAATTTGATTCTTAACAGGACACAATGGAGAAAAAGATTCATGTAGCAGGTCCGACGTATTGGGATAAAGGCTTGATGTTGTTGTTGTTGATCATTTTATGTCTGTTTTCTTGTCACAGCACTATGGGAAAGAGATTATTGCCAAGGAGCTTCAGCTTGATCAGGAGCACCAAGATGTTCTGCGGCTCTATCTGGCTGTGTACAAAAGCTTTGTTGAGGTACTTATTAGTGATATTCTTTGAAGACTAAATCATCACATATTTGTACATCTATTTATTTAGCACATGGGATTACATGCTTAAGTTGGATGGATTTTTGTTGTTGATAAACTCTTTGGTGGAATTTAATGATTTTTTTGTCTTGATATGTGGTGATAATTAAATCAAATTGACGAGCTTGTGATGACCTTAGGAGAAAATGCAGATTTAGGCTTCGTTCGGAACGGTTTTCTTATCGCTTCTTAAAGCAGCTTTCTGATAATTTCTGTGCTAGAAAGAAACTTTAAGAAGCAGTAAGAAAGCCACCCCAAACAAAACTTTAGTTACTAGACAACACATTCAACACTCAAGCATATGGATATGTGAACAATAAGAAACAGATGTGATTGGCAATGGAATGAATTGTATATGTGTTAATTCATGTTTTGTTCACTGTAACAGTCAATTGATGCGATTGACAACGGAATTAACCAATACGAAACGGATCTGCCTCCAAGATATGTGAACAACACACATTTGTCGTCAAGAGTTGGGCGCTTAAATTTGGATTGGGTGGAACCCGATCAATCTGCAGCGAAGGAAAATGAAGCCTTTCAGCGGGCAATGATTCTTGCTGGTGGAGAGTTTTTGGAGGTTGGATTCATTTATGATCCCATTTCTGATCTTTTTTGTGTTTCTAAGTGTTTTGATTGTACTATGTTATTATTTGTTCAAATATCAGTTTTACAATTTAAGCGCATGTTATATTCAATTTTTATTTGATTTCAGAGCATTGGTTATCATGCAAAATCATGGTTACCTGCAAGGTCTATTGTTCTTGAATGCATAGAATCGAGGATAAACATCGATCCGAGTGGCGAAATCCTCGTTCTCAATAAGTTTTGCCCTGTAAGATTTCTTATAGTATCTTGTTCTTATCTTAATTCACCGAGATTATATAGGTGTTGTTGGTCTTATCTTATAATCACGCATTCAAATTTCCATCTCTATTATTTGTTGGTTGATCTGTGCATTGCTCGACTTTTAATTAATCTAATACTCAAATACAAGTTTTCCTTAAAATTGTTAGCTTTATTAATGCTGTAGAGTTAAAAAAACTAAAATCTTTTCATTTGAAGACTCATTGTATAGGAATTAAAAAAAAAATTCACTGTGAACATTGATTGTTGAAGGATGGAACTTATAACTTGAGCATTTGGAATGTTTCTTAATTCTTTTGCAAAATCTTAATTATGTTGAGTAGCTGGATCTATTAAGGTATTCTGTATTGAAATAAGAAGTGGATTAAAGCTCTATTAACTTTGAACAACAGTGGAAGCTTCATCTGTTTGAGCTTGAAGAGGAGTTGAAGATTGATCCACCCATCAAATATGTTCTATATCAGGTAAATCCTTCTATCATCTAATCATTGTAAAGTTAGAACTCTAAAGAAGTTCAAATTATTTCCGTAGGATGATCGAAGCAAAAGTTGGCGAGTTCAAGCAATTGCAGTGTCGCCGGATAAATTTGAGAGCCGAAGGCCTCTCCCCTTGCCATGGAGGGGTCTGAGGGATGAAGAATTGTCAAAGGAGTCTGGAATTCCCAGATGCGTCTTTGTTCATATGAGTGGATTTATTGGCGGAAATCATACTTATGAAGGCAGCTTAGCTATGGCAAGAGCTGCTCTCCAGTTTCCTACTGAGTAGCTGTTTACATGGTTTAGTGATTATTAGAATTTCTTTGTGGGAAACATATTTTCTTGTTTTAATTGATAATTTTCATAAAGCATTTAGTTTATTTTAAAAACTATGAAGTTACATAATCATAAAGTTTTATTTTTTTTGTTTGGAGAGTTGGTAGTCTATTTTTTATGACTTCATTTATTCACAATGCAGTTTTTGCTAAAATATATCAGAAAAGTATTTGGATAATCTTATAAACTTGTCAAGTTTGTATTAATTAATTTGCAGTAGGTATAACAGTTTGAACAGGTCTGTCTATATGAGTAGCAGGATTAGGTTCCCAAGTAATGCTAATATTTTTTTTTTAAACATACTAGCCAATTATAAGTGGACAAAAAGAATATGGAAGATCCTCAATCCAGAGTTCAGATTTGAACAATTTTACAACTTGAAGAAAAATGAGAGAAGTTCCCTCAAAGGATCCTCTAGTTGTCCAATGGTTGGTAGATCAGCTTCTTTCCTTTGCAGACTAGTAAGAACCCGCAAAGTGGAGAAAATTATTCTGTGCGGAATCCGAAAGTGTTCGGAGGCGAATCCGGGCATGCCATATCACCGGGGCCGAGTGCATCCGGTGACGTGGCGCATCCAAAATCATCTCCGAATCCATTCGGATTCCGCACAAAATAATTTCTCCTAAAACCTTCTAAATGTGACATGTCCTTTCACTAGAAGGTGCTAGTGAATGAGTAGGTTCAAAGTTTTGCACGTTCAATCTATAGTTGATAGGTGCTTGATCTATATTATAATGACTACCTATTGTTTGGGAAATAAAATATATAGTCTGTTTGCCTTGTAATATCAGATTAAAAGGGCTATCTTATTGAAAGTTAAGTGTTGGAAACATTACGATGAGATTAAGAAGGTTGTTGGCTAATTTGGGCAGTGACATTTTGCATCTTTTGTTCCTCCATTGTATTGCTTGCAGCTCTCGGGTTTTCATATAGTTTTGCTAACAACGATGATAAGTAGCTCCCATTCATCCGATTTAAACCACCCATGGATGGCCACTGTCTTGGCCCAGGCAATCTGATGGCTTCAATGATATTCTGTGTGAACGCTTTATGCTTTATTTGTCTAGTTTTTTGTTGGTCTGATGCTTCTTCGTTCTGGTTATTGTGTGCCTAAAATTGGAAATATTAGGCCACTGAAATTCAACGTAGATCCACTTATTTCCCAACCAAATAAGCTGTCAAAGTAATTCTAGTTTTATTATATATATTATTTTGCTCCAATTCCTTCAACCCAAACACAGTAATAAATTCCCATCTTGAAAAAATTCTATAAAGAATTCTTATATGATAAAAGCTTCATTCCTTTGGTTTTGATCTGGAGACTATTCTTAAACTTTAACTAATTATTTAGACAATAGATGGTTAATCCGATAACTATAATCTGATTTATAAACCTAAACTAAAGAAAGGAAGTATAAGAAAGCCAAAAACTTCATGAACATCTAATTAGGCTTGATTATTAAAAAAAAAAAAAGCATGAGTTATGGTTGATATTAAGGGGATGGATCTTGAAGAAAGAGACTCCAAATATCTGAAAGTTACTGTTCTTAAAAAATGTCCGTGCCAATGAAAAAGATGAGCCACCTGAATTTCTAAGAGCCGACAAATTATTGATGAAGGTGCCTCTTGTAAGCTCACTGGTTCATATTTCAAAAAAATCTAAAATAATAATAAACAGGCGAACCGACATTTAAACCTTATTTTTTGAATCCCAGATGCAACAGGTTGTAGCTAACCATGTCATTTTATATGTTAAGGTTGAAATATGGTATGAAATAGACTGGATAATTCCAAAGCCCAAAAGGAAAAGAATAGAGAAACGAATCGTTTGGGATCAACATGCATAGAAGATCTAAATAACACACCGGGAATTGGGAATGATGGCTATAGCAGTTTTGAACTAAATAAGCAAACATAACTGAACCACATCACTTGTAGTGTTAACACATTCTCCAACAAACATAATAGCAAATGCATGTATAACATAACTGTGATGCAGTACTACGAAAGAAATTAACATACCTGAATCATAGAATGAAATTGCTTTAAAGTTCAAAATAGAACTTGGCCTCATTTTAGACAATTATTTTCTAAAGAAAACAAAAAAAAGTTTAGTAATTGAACGTAGCAACACTCACTAACTATACAACAACCACAATAAATGAACTAAAATTCATAATGCACAAGGACAGACCATATTATTGTTAGTGAGAGCAGTTTAAAGAGGATCAAAATTATGTGAGATATATCATAAGTTAAACTCATTTTCAACACAAAAGATAAGGGTCTATTTGGGTAAGCTTTCTCATTATTTTGCTTTTCAGATCATAATTGCAATTCTAGTTGACTATTGCTTTCTTATTACCTTCTGGTTGCTTTTTAAAAATTCTATGATAGGAAGCTGATTTTTATAACTAGAATTGCTAATGTATGGTAGCTTTAAGAAACAAGTTATTCAAAATTTTAAAAAGGAACATATTTATGATATTTATGACTAAAAAAAAGCTACTTTCCACATAACAGCCTCACAATCACATTTTCAAAATCCTGCCATTGTCTCAAACAGATCCTAAATCTACGATGAAAGGGTCAACCACTTATTTTTTTTACACAATATATTTTTTAGCTAGCAGATGCGAGAATAAAAACCCAATGTTCTCAAAAGCCTTAACAATCTATTCGCATGTGAAAATTAAATATAAATTTTTCTCAAAGTCAACAAACATCATTCATGAATCTACTGTGAGAGTCATACTTATGAACCTTGCTAAAATATAATAAAAGGTATCAAAGATCCATAAACAACAAGAACTACTCGATCCTAGCCAAACCAAAAAAGGCTTTGATACAGCTCGATTATAAGTGTGGGCTAAGCATAATCAAATACCTGATATCTTAGTGCTCATATCAACTTTTAATCCAAAAAAGCTTAAAGCCTGTGGAAGAGAGCTAATCATTTGGTATGTCTATGCCAACATATTGTTTATCTATATGATGTAAAACTAAACTCAAAAAACTCATATGCCTCAATAATTATAACTACAAAAAGCAGTAGCCATTTAGGCTGCACCAATAAAGTTACTTGCACTTCCACTAAACAGACATAAAATATACTAAATGAGCTAAAAAAATATTAAAAAAGAAAGTGCATGTTTATCATCCACAAACTAATCAAGATACATGGTACAAGGCTACAATAATTAAAATATCTCTAACAAAAAAATGTGAATTGAAGTAGTTTAGAAGCCTACGAAAAGAAAGAGTAGATATGTGAGCAATATATAAATGCGTCATATCAACAAAGCTAAGGAAATTAAATGGCGCAAATGAAAATACCGAATGTTCGGACAGTATATTTCATCACCAAAGAAAGCAATAGCAAGATATCATTTTAAATAGAATATTTATACCTAATTCTTTAATGGAATTTGGAAGTAGTTCACTGCACTTAGATTTTAACGAAATTAATCTACAAGTAACAATAGAATATAATCAATATATAGCCTTGCACATACGCATGTTTGACGCATGTTTAATAGAAGTGATGAACATAATCATATTCCATTAATTCAAAATGAAGTTAGGGGCTAAGGTGAACAAAACTTGATCTTTTTGGTTTCCAACCACTTTTAATTGAAATATTAAAACACGTTAATTTTAAACTCCAATCATCAAACAGGTAATCCAATTATAATCTCACAAAGTACTATAAACTTTAAAAAGGAAAAAATTATATATATATATATATATATATATATAAATGATCAAAATGATATCTTGACTCTTTATGAAGGACCAAAATGATCCCAACTATATTAAAATATCATTTTGGCCCCTCAAGATTTTAGAAATGAATCAAAATAGTCCTATGATGGGATTATTTTGATTCTCATTAAAGGAATTGAGGGAATAAAATAGTCTTTTAATATAGTCGGAGACTATTTTGTGTTAGGCCGGTTCACTCTAAACTGGCCCAGCCGGCCCAAGGGCCGGCTCAGGTTTATAGGAGGTGGAACATGTCAGCCTCCCATACTCTTGCCCGCCCACATGGTGGGCCCCAACTTGCCTAATGGATTTCAAATTCAAAAGGAGGGGGCGGCTAGGTCTTGGGAGGGAGATTAGATTAGGAAAGTGTTTGTATTAAGAGCAAGAGATGTTTAGGGAAGGATTATGATTTGATTTGTTCTCAATTAGGATTTCTTGACGACTTGGGCTCTAGACTCTCTTGTCTAGAGATTTGAGAGAGACGATTCTCCTCTCGAATTGAGGATCTCTTGTATCTTATTTTCATTATTGCTTGGCTTTGATTTTCCTACCGCAATATATTGTTTTGAGCTGTTTTCACCCAGATTTCGCATTATTCTCACTGTTTTTCAACAATTGGAGATAGGTTTGCTTGCGAACTCAAGTATTAGCCTTAGGGTTACTTGCGAACTCAAGTATTTCCTATCAAAATCATGACGAAATATCATAAAACTGATTTGATGGACATTAAATAAAAAAGTTGGGCCTAAATTATGTTCAAGCTATTAGAGATATGCACACATAAATTTGAGTAGCATTAGAACTAGTTAAGTGATCAAAGAGCTTCTAATCACAGTAGGAATACATTAAGTTTTAGCATTAAACCTTGTTATAATGATGTCCTATTTTTGTGTTGCTATTTGGAACAAAATAAACTTATAATACAACTTAAGCAGCCTTCAAAGATGAGAGGAGAGATTGATCATCATCTCCATATTCTCTCCTCATTAACTACAAAGAGACTAATGAAAGCTTGTTGTCTGCTCTGGTGATGATGAAGCTAAAAGGAGAGGTCAGTTAGCAAGTGAGGGAGCTTGGGGTCTAGTTAGGCTATTGAAGAAGAATTAATTAGTAGTAAATGAGGGAGAAGATGAATAAGAGCATAGCGAGGGAAAGGGAGAGAATTGAGAGAAGAAGAGGAGGGACATAAGAGCAGCTGATTAGGCTAGAGGATGAGAAGTGAGGGAGAGTACAAGTTTTTTTTTTTTTCATCATCAAAGAACTTCATACTAAAAGAGTGGTATAAGGTACCATTTAGTTTGGGATTTGATTCTTGAAGGCAATGTCTATTTGAGAAAGACAGCAAGAAAGAGAATCATGTAGACATGCTCACAAAAGTGCTACCAGTTCAGAAATTAATCTACTGTAGGAGTTTAGTGAACATTTGAGCTCATGACTGATTGTTCATTTGTTTTGAAGAATTATGCTTAACTTGATCCCTTGAGAGGGCGGGTATGTAGGCAACCATCTTGGTGTAGTCATTCTGATTAGAGTTTCTTTTATCATCTTCCACTTTCTGAATTGAAAGATGAGATAGAGATTGTTGATTTGGAAATCTTTCAAAATCTAAATGAGCTTGGATTAGGAAAGCATTTAGGGGCTAATTAATGCATTAATTAGAAGATTTGTTTTGGGATTTGATTGGATCCAATATGGCATCAGTTTGATTTGTCATATTATTGTATTAATTATATTTTTCTTCAGCTGTAGATCAGGAGGTAGAAGATGATGTTGAGGATGAGGTTTCAGCTCAAGAATCTATTGCTAAGAGTATGACCAGGCGCTATAATATCCCAAAACCAGCTTAGTTAAGGGACCACATGACATTTACACTTTCAGCCACAGAGGCTGAAATTCCAAGTCACTACAAGAAAGTAGTGGACAATCCAGATGGTGATCTGTGGAAGAGGTATATGAATAAAGATATGGAGTCTCTTCAAAAGAATAATTATTTGGAGGTTTGTGAAACTTCCTCTAGCAAGGGAAGTCATTGTAAAACCCCTTAAGTAAAAAAAAGCTAAACTCTCAAATGTCGAGATGCCTTTTGATATAATGGTTGAAGTTTCATTTAAAAACTCTGCAGTTAAGCGCACTCATCTCAGAGTAATTATGAGATGGGTAATCTGCTGGGAAGTTACACCAATATGATAAAACCGTGAGGTTCTCAGGCCAAAGCAGATAGTATCTCGATAATTAAGAGTTTGGGTTGCAGTCATTAGGTGCAAATGGGAATGTGCAAAAAAGGAAGTATCTCATGGAGCTGATGTGCGGTACAAGGCTAGGCTGGTGGCAAAAGGCTCAGCGCAACGGGATTGATTATGATGAGGCGTTCTCCCCAGTGATTAAGCATCTCTCAACCCACAGTCACTTTCCAATTGTAGCACACTATGGTCTGATTTTGGACCAACTCTATTCAGACATTGCACAAGCAGTTGGTGTTGTGAGCATGTTTATATATGATCTGATAATAAGTCATTGATAGGATGTGAAAAGTGCCTTGAGATATCTGAATGGTACAGTTGATGCAGGCTTGATATTAGAGAGATAGTTGTGCTATCAAGCATGCTAATATAAGGTACCATTTAGTTTGGGATTTGATTGTCGAAGGCAATGTCTATTTGAGAAAGAGAGTTACGAAGGAGAATCCAACATACATGCTCACAAAAGTACTACAAGTTTAGAAATTCACCTAATGTAGGAGTTTAGTGAACATTTGAGTTCATGACTGATTGTTCACTTGTTTTGAAGAACTATGCTTGACTTGATCCCATGAGAGGAAGGATACGTAGGCAACCAACCATCTTGGTGTAGTCATTCTGATTTGAGTATGTTTTATCATCTTCCACTTTCTGAAGTGAAAGATGAGATGGAGATTGTTGATTTGAAAATCTTTCCAAATCTAAATGAGCTAATTAGGAAAGCATTTAGTGGCTAATTAATACATTACTTAGAAGATTTGATTTGGGCTTTGATTGGATCCAATATGGCATTGATTTGATTTGCCATATTATTGCATTAATTATATCTTTCTTAATTGTTTTGTCTCAAATCTATAAATTAAGGATTTGATAGCTGTTGTGTAAGAGAGAGCTAGAGAGAGCCAATTGTAACTTTTTTCCTCCACATTATAGTGAAATCATCCTTTCCCTGTAGAAATATGCATCTTCGTCGAACCACGTAAATCATCATGTTCTTTGTGTTGATTGTGCTTAGATTCTGAATTTGTTTTCGTTGTTTGCACAACATGCACACCATAGGAATGAATGGAGTATTCACAATGAAAATCTCAAATAGAAGTAACAAGTCTAAATGTTGATGATGTGTACATAAAAATGCATAAAGATGTAAATGTATATGAAAGCAATAACAAAAGAAGAAAACCATAGGGATAAACCTTGCAAAAGTGACACAAAACCAACAGCATCAACAGTTCATAAGAGTATATTTCAAGAATATATGTTATGGGCTACAATAGTATATAACTATAAAGCCAGTAAGGGAAGAAACTCTAGATGACATATATCCATTTTCTTTTCATACGCATAATCAGAGAAGCTCAAACAGTTTAATCGTGGTGAGAGTTAAGATTAACTGAAAAAGCAGGGCCATTTTCAAATTAGTCTCGTCCATCCTAGCAAGTTGAGACATTCTATATTAAAGATTAGTATATAAGATGCAGAGAGAGAAGACTTCAACAAAAAACCAGTTGAGCATAAAACGGCAAACAAGAAAACAAACCTGAAACTTCACTCCAATCCCATATCAAAACAATTGGCATACGCATTAAAATCGTAAATTAATCAATTGAATTGTCGTCTCAATTATTCAAATATACTTCTTCCGACTCAGGATCGTTCATCTTTCCTGGTCTTTATGGTTACATGTGATCTAAAGAATGATGCATAAGACTTTTAACTACGAACAGCCTTCGGAATTCAGCACTATAAGAAAATATTCTACGTAAGAGGTGACCAAGGGAGGCACGGAAAGCGGAAAATCGAGAACCAACCCTAGACGGGCACGTATCTTTTCAAGACCTGCTTACCGGCCATTGCAGCTCCAACCATCAACCCTCCGATCGCCCCCGCAATCGCTGCAGACCTAGGCCCATTAGCCGCCTTGAAAAACGCCCCGGTCCCGAGGCCCGCCACCACGCTGTTGATCCAATCATCACTGCCCCTTACTGCGACCAAGCCGCTCTCCGTGCCAGCGTACAGGAGCCCAATAACGCCCAGCCTATTGCCAAATCTCCGGCCGTCCTGACCGGAAGAATTGAGGACGCGGCTGATGCGGAGCTTTACGGTTTCCCCCGGCTCGGCAGATCGGAGGCCCTTGTAGAGACCGACAGAGGCGCCGCCAACCGCTCCACTGAGGTAGCCGATGCCTGTGAAGTACGTGAGATTCTCGCCCCAGGAGCGGCGCTGGGCAAGAGACTCTTCCTGGAAGAGGAATTCCGGCGATGTGGGGAGGTCGTATATGGCGCGGTAGGGGATCTGGAGGTCCTTGTAGGGATCGTAAATTCGTCGGCCGGGTTGTTGTTGGTTGTCGGAATTGTCGCCGCTACCGTAGCCTAAAACTCTCGAATCCTCCATCGCAATTTTGACCCTTCCTAGTTTTTTTTTTGGTACTTGAAAAACGACGAGGCTTTGTGCCTTTGTGGCGGTGAAGACGTTGAGAAGCTCCGCTCTCTTGCTTGGGCGAGGGCTCCAACTCCGGCGCCTACCGAACTGTAGAAAAAACAATTATATTGGACTTCGCGAGATTCTTGACTGAGAAGACGTGTCACGTATTTTTCTTTCCTGGAATTATAATAACAAAATTATGAAGGGACTCTCATGTAATTTGGCCCCTCAAATTTATATTATAATTAATACCATTTTTCCCCAAAAAAAAATAAAACCATAAATTACACTAATTTTAATCATAATAAAAAAAATATTCAAATTCAAATTTTTTTCCAATTATAATTATAATTTAAGTAAATTAACATATTATTTCTCATAAAAATATGATTTTACGAAAATCATTCCATTTGCTAGTTTTTATTTATTTTCAATCCTTTTGTTCCATTTCTTTAATATTAATTCAAAATTAAATTGTCGTGACTTTTGAAGTTGATAAATAAAATGAAAAAATCTTAAAACATAACTTTTGATGAAATATTTAGTAATATTACTCTTATAATAAATGTTCAATTTGATATTGACTTTGTCTTTCATTTTTTAGTTTAGTGACATGCAAAATCATAAAACGAATTTTTTGACGAGAGTTGAGAGTCATCAATATTTCCTAAAATTTCATAATAGTAACTATCTTTAAAAATTTTTGGAATATAAAACTCCATTTATCTTGCCACTCATATGAAAATTATTTGACTACATTAGGCCACAAAAGAAAGATCTTATCAATATGAAATAAGTTTTTTATTATCCACATAGAAGACATGCATGCAAAGTAAAGATTATCATAAATCTCCAATTACTCATTATATTGCTTGGAAGTTGAGTTAAATTTGAGACCAAGGGCATAAAAATATTGGCAGATTTGAAGCTCTTAAGGGTGACCATCTAAAAATGCAAAAAGTGCTTAATAGAACATTCATTAAAGCTTAATTTAGGACAGCTTTTCTTACTACTTTTTAAGCCAGTTTTTTTTTAGTACAAAATCTTTTAGTTTAAGAAATTTTTGTACTAAAAAGTTACTTTATTAAGTCAGAAGCCATCACTCAGCCCTCACCAGGAACTCAGTGTACTAGGCGTGAAGCGGTGAGCCTGAAGGCTTACAATCTGCTGAGGAACCACCCTAATGAAGCCTAAACCTAAATTGGTTCCACCAACCAACATGAGCATCATTCTCACAAATGTGTAGCATAGTTTTAGAGTTAGACACCCCTGCCAAGGAATTGAGTTAATTGCATTATAGTAGGAAAGCTTTCTTATTGCATTATAGTAGTTCATATTAATGGCAACAAAAGTAGTGAGAATCATCCAAGAACCATTAGAGATAGTAGAGTTAAACTTATTATAGGGGGAGAGATTAATAATTGAGTAGCAGCTAATTCCCAATATATAATAATGAAAAAGTCCCTCAAACCATGCATGAGTAGTTAGTTGAAGCCTACCCTTTTAAGCTAACTAATAAATCATTCAACTTGTCCAACAAAATGGTGTAATCTTTTGTCAATAACTTGCAAAGTAAAATAGCAAGTCAAAATAAGTGAATGGGAAGTTTTCTATCTTAATGTCTATGGCTTCTCTAAACCTTACAGGATCATCAATGGATGCAAAGAAGGATTTTTTAACTTTAATTGATTAACCTGTACACCCATGAAACTAGCAAGAAGGCTAAGGTTCCTTTCGATCGAATAGAAATTAGGAAGATTTGTTTTACCCATGGTAGTAAATCATCAACAAATAGAAGTTGGGGAATATAAATATTGCCATTAAAGATGGGGGGGAATAGTTCCCCTGAAAACCTCTTTTTCTTAGAAACAAAAGAAGACATCATATATATATATATATATATATAATTTAAAACTGTAATATAATAAAGTTATTACGTAAAATGAATTTTAAGGCAAGGGCGTTTTAGTCTTTATAGGAAAAACGCTTAAATTAATTTAAATTAATATAACAACCAAACAAAAAAAATGTTTTTTGACTTGATTAAGCACCTGAAAAGTGATTTATTCAAACAAATGAATAATATTAATAATAGTGTTTTCTGAAACTCTTTCTTCTGTGCAACTGCTGCTAAACAAACTTATATCTATACTATCTATTATAAAAGGGGCTTGAGTTTCCTTCCTCCGACAAATCTTGTTCATCCATTCTACTTATTTTTTAATTATCTTGGCGTC